AGTTTCATCAGATTCATTACCAATCCTGTTTTGCTGATTGCTCTTTAACAATCTCTACCCACAGTCCTATTATCTCAATGAAACAGTACACTCTTGTTTGCAAGGCAAGTTCTCTAAATAGTAATTGCTGCAAGAAGTACTGCAGTGCAAGCTATATCTATAAAGCCATTAATTGAACTAGCTTTGAGGCACAACAAGTGATGTCTTGGCCTGAACTTGCCAAGGTCTTTCCCTGATCTGGCCTAGGAGGACGATGTAAGGATCCTACAAGAAAAAAAAGGATTTAACTGAGTGGAAATGCTGTAGCACACTGGACCTGGATGGTCTGGGTGGGTGCTACCTTGGAGATAATCAGCATGAGGTCCGCGGGTGGCGATAATAAAGAGGGACAGGCACAATTGTGTGACCCAAAAAATAACTTGAACAAGAAAACAACAAACAAGCCAGACACGATCAGGGGATGCATACAATAGGGTGCAGGGTATTACAGTAATTTACAGATCCTAGGTTGGGGGTGGAGTTCAAGGGAAAGGAAACAATAAAAGCTTGGGATTAGGTGCATGTAAAATAATGCAGCAAAATTTAACCAGTAATAACAAAGAAACCATAGAACTTTCTAGCACAGTTAGCATACAACTTATCAGGGGGAATTGTGGGTAATACTTTACTCTCCACAACTAGAAGGGTTTTTCCCATGGCATTCCATCAAGGTTTTTATCAGCCCCAACCAAATGCTGTGTCCTTTCTGCTCTGAAGTTTATATCATTACCAGTTTCATTAAGCCACTACAGCATGTATGGACTTCTAATATATAGAAAGGTTGAATGTTCAGGGAGTAGATACTGCAAATCAAACATGCTTTTAACTCCTGAGCTACTTGATTTGAATTGAATGTGTGTTAAAACTAATGTTGGAGTCAACTTTTGAGAATTTTTTTGGTGTAACCATAGTAACATATTAGCTGTTACAGAGAGCAGAAGTTCAGTTTCTCTTATTCAGAGAAATCTGAGGACTGCATTTGAGTCTAATGCTGAGAAGGTGCAGAAACAGTGATGATGTGATATGATATGACATATGATATGGAGAGTGGTTGGCCAAATCTAGTGAGCCAATGTTTATCAGTTTCTCTGTGGGTAGGAAAATAAATGCTAGAAATGCTCATTTTTAAACTGAATTAATGTTCCCCATGCCTCATGCCCTCATGCTCATTTCTAAGGGCCACATGCCTACAGCAGCAGACCTACATTGTCATATTCCTGGGATATAAATCCCAAATAAATTACCTGAAGCTTTATATCCAAGATGGTCCTGCCATCCAGGTGTTACACCACACAGTGCATCTTACCTGTGATTCTGCAGTGGTGGCTACTCAATTTCAGCTAGTTTGGAGTATCCCTATGTAGATAATCCACTGAAAAGCTGGATGTCAAATGTCCTTTAGACTAGGACTTCTCAATCAAAGTCTTTTGATGAGCTTTTATGAGTATTCAGAGATTGAATATTTTTGGTAGAAGGCTTTGTCTTTGTTTCTCCAAGCACTCACCTGCTTGGAAGCATTTTCAAATTATGAAAAAATGCTTCTACTGCAGTTGAAGACGTCCTGTTGCTGCAGTTAGAGTAAGTCAAGCAGTTCTGAAATGAAAACTGGTCACACCTTTGTGAACACTAATGCTAAGTTGCGTCTTTGGTGCATAAGAGTTTGGCAGCTGCCAGCAGTTTCCACGCTAGTCAATTCCTTGCAGCAATAAAACCTGATTGCTGTCTACAGAGATGCCAGTTCATCCTTCCCTGCTGTACAGATGTGTCCCTGCCTTGCTGAGGGCTTTAAGTAATTACAAAATGTGAGTCTCAGCTATATCTGTATGTACAACAGCGTGTTACAGCTCAGGTCCAGCAAACTTGAGCAGTGACAGTCACCAGCATCAGGATAACGAGGATCCAGACTTGGCATACATCTCCTGTGTTTAACGAAGCACTTCTTTTTCCCAACCCTAAGCAACAGCTTGTTGTACAACTGCATCAAAGTCCACATCTAACTGATATTGGGTCCCTTTCCTCAAGTCAGTAGAAGTATTTTTATTCAATTATTTGAATAGGAACAGAATCAAATCCTTGAAACAGAAAGCATGAAGTTTGTTCATCACTGAGGAAGCCACAATACTCAGTAAATAGCAATTGGTAATGTAAGCAGAGTGGTTGTTGAGAGAACATTATGTCTAACTATTATGCTCTGCCTTTTCCTGGAACGTAGCATTTGATCTCAGTGCATTGGGGTGGCTGTTTAGTCTAAATTCCTCTCTTTTATATTCCATGTAACTTTAATTTCTCAGTTATAAAGGGGGCATAATAGAATTCCCCTATCTCACTGTACTGCATAACTCAGTCCTTTTACAATCTTAAGATGCTCAAATATCGTGTTACTAAGAACATAACAATTGTTTGCAGTCACAAAGGTAATAGAAGTGAGGATCATTATATAAAATCCACATTTTTATTGTTTGCATGCATATTACAAAGTTTATGTTTTTCCTCACTGCTAGTTATTTATGCACATAACCCAAATCTAAATTCCCTGGGTTTGCACTTCCAAGTGGTCAGTGAGAATGGATAATGAGGCTGTTAGGTAAATATGTAAGAACGTGAGCTTTGTGTCAATTCTTAAATTAAATATCTGATGAAGGAAATATGGCATACTGGAGGACATACTTATACAAAGTAATCTTGAGGGATATGACTGGATTTACTGAAAAAAAAGGAACTTTCAAGTAAGTTGAAAGTGCTGAGTTTTATCATGTGGCATACTGTTCTTTAGGTCAAAGACATTTCTTTGTCTATATAGCATTTTTAACTAATCATTGCTGTGAAACCTGAATCCATTAGAATGAGTGTGCTGAGTAAATTGCATCATTTTCGTCCCATAAATTTTTTTTTTTTGTCTACTAAAAATTTCTTCCTGTCAAAGCCAGGACAGAAATTGTCACCCAGGAGTTTGTTAATATTCTCCAGTTTGCTTCAGAGCAAGAATTAATTGCTAGTACTTCCTCTGCCTTCTTAAATTCAGGTTTGTCAATGTCATTTTTTTTGTACTTGTTCTCTAATGTACTACTTATTTAGGTCTTTATATTCCATAAAAATATGCAAACTCTGTTTAAACCTCATAGCTAATATAAACTACTTTCACCTGATGGGAAAAGGTATGAGCCCAGAGTTAATTATCAGACCCTAAATTTGGTTAGTAAAAGAGAAGATACTTGTTGGTGGTATTTCTTTATAATATCGTGATATTTCACATCAGACTTCTCAAAAGTGTTTGTCTTAAAACCTATGTGTCTTTATAATGTTAGAGTGTTGCAATTTAGAAAAAACTGCCCATGGTCTGCACTAGAAAAATATATTTCTAAATCAGTCTGTGCTGGCTAGGAATTGTCATTTTTAAAGCTTGTCATAGGTATTATTTTAGTTTTGCCTTACGGGGTGTATCAGTATATACTGGGTACTTTTCAAAGCTTTGCACTGGTCTAGAATTTGGAAACCGTATCTGTTTTCACTGAGAAAAGTCAGTACGTTATATATTTCAAAAGAGTAAAATATTTGACCCTGAAAAACAGATTCCATAAATAGCTGCTCTAAAAGCCTCTTTCCTGAAGCAAATCTTGCTAAGAAAGAATCGTGGTTGTACTCTCCAGTGGAGCGAATGAACATTTCTTACCTTATGGAATTTAAGCAAAACTTGTTTCTGTCTTTGTCTCCTTTCAGGCCTGCTGAAAAAATAGCTATAATTTTCATTGAAGGCTGGTTTGATATGTTACTTAGCATTACATATATACATATATAATCTGATTAGTCAGAACATATATTTGAAAGCAAATGCCATCTCTTCAATCGCAGCTTTTATCAGTGGCAAGCATAATTCATTAGATGAACAGTTTATTGATGTATAATCAGTGGTAATGTGTCTCATCCGCTTACGTGGAGAACTACCTGAAAACTGTTTGGAGTGGAAATACTTTTTAGGGTTTATTGTTTTTTATTTAGCTCTTCCGTCTGCTCCTTGTCATTTGCAGCAGTTGTCTTGAAATATTTTCATGTGGCCAGGAAGGCTTCATTTTTCTTCCTTTTTTTTTTTTTTTTTTTCTTTCTTGGCAAGTTTTCTGTCTCTCTTTATGTCAGGGAAAGGGGTGAATCCTTTACAAATTAGCTAAATACCTGTGAAAAACCTTGCAGCTGAAGCCTGAAAACCCTGATGCAGTTACTGAAGTAATTCCTCACTCATTTTTCACATTATCAATTCTATGATAATGATGAAAGGAAATTAAAAAAAAGAAAGAAAGGAGATATCAGCTGGAAAGAATAACTGGGCTGAAAGCAGGAGGGAATGATGAAGAAAGGAGCTGAAAAATGAGAAGCAGGTAATAGAGAAAAAAGTACATGATAATGAGATACAGAGCCTTGACCTACAGTTAAAGGAGAGAAAACCTAAACCAATGAATTAAAACTTAATTTAAAAGAAGTAATTGCTGAAAGTGAAAGCAAATAAAAATCCCTCTTTGCCTGTTCTGTAGCCTTACATTATTGATTGAATAAACCCTGAGATGTTAACGTAAGGTTTTTTATGTCTGTACTCAAATGTAAAAGTTTATTGTTCATTACATTTTTAGAAGGCAAGTACAAAAGTTGTTTCAGCACAGTCAATACAAATACATTTCTTTTCAATTTAATAACTATGAAACTGTATTTCCACTCCACGCCCTCCCTCCCCCAAAAAACCCAAAAAAAAAATAACCTAGTTTAATAACTTCATGAAACCTGCAATTTCTCACAGAAAATTACTCCTGGAAAAAAAAATAAGGAATTCTCAAAATTTTATATGCATTACTATTTGTATATTTATCAGTAGACTTGAGGCAGGCAGCTCTGAAAATGTTTAATTCATGAAAATTAAACAAAATAAATACAGCAACAATAGTAAATTGTGCATAATTGTCACATCTTCTCCTCAGACTGGAATGGGACACCTGCGTGTTACAAAAGAAGGCCTTCGACTGGAAGGGGAATCTGAATTCTTATTCCCTCTTTATGCCAAAGAAATCCATTCGAGAGTGGTAAGTGGGTAATCTTGGAATAATGCTATATAAAATGAATGAACTTCTGAATAATTTAATTTCCCATGATTTCTGTCATGTTAAAAAAATATATATGTATGTGAATGTACGTGTATATCTGTATATACACATATTTCTGTATACTTTACAAGGTCAGTGTTATGATGATTTGTCAGAATTAACATTTATCTCTTAGGTATGTGATAATCAGCTCAAACAGGAATTATAATTGCTATCATATGTAAGTAATCCTAGAACTTGAGGAGCATATAGAAAGTTTTTCATTATTTTTAGTAAGATTATTTTTTAATACAGGCTTCTACTAGGAAACTGCTTGTTTTCTTTATTCAACCACTACAGAATAGTTCCAATATCTCTAAAATTAGTGGATCCTAATTGAAAAGTTATGATTTCTCTAATATATATCTTTTTTTCACTTTAAAGACAATGCCATGAAATATATGGCATGTTTATATATTTATGTATATAAAATTTACAGGTCTAAATGGAAAGACTTAGTCTTTAATCTGGTTTATCTAGATAGAAAACTTTGTTGTTGTTATTGCTAGTGAGGTAAAAAACTTGGTCAACTATTTATCAAAATGATTAATTTTAAAATGTCACTGAGAATGGAAAAGGTATGGAAGTTTTGGGTATAGGAAAAGGAAGAGAGAATCTGATTTAGATTTTGATTATCCAGGGGGACGCTGAAACTCCAGTGAATTTTTTGTAGAGAGATAAATAAATTATCCAATAAAATAAATATGTCCATAGTCCAGTGTCTCACAAAATAAAGTTTTATGTTTTGTAAATATCATCATCAACCAGTGGGACATTTCATTAAATAAAGTACTATTCAGTGACAGTAAAAGCCAAATATGGCTCTTTCACATCCTCAGACATGTAATTGAGAAGAAATTGCCAGCCATGAGACTTTTCTCAACTTAGGAAAAAAGTTAGTGTTTGTTTTGCGATAGCAAGAGAAAACGTACAGAAATTTATCAGAATGAGGCTGTTAACATGCTTGATTACTAAAATTTAAGCAACACCAACATGTTTTACTTATATTGAGCCTTTATTTTTCTCTCTTTCTGCAACAAGTATTTCCAGTTTCAGGAACAGCTCTTAATTAAGACAGTGAAATTCCATTACTATATCTATATTTCCATTTAGCTTCTTATGCTGTATTCTTTTCTGCCTCACAGGCAGTGAGAAAACTATTTATGTGCTTTGGTGAATTTCCCTTGAGGTTGTTTATCCAGTAAGACATGTAACTTTTTAAGGCCATCACAGCTAATGTTTAAGAACTCCCTCTAGTCCCAAAGATCATTATGAAGTGTTAAACTACCATTTGTGCTCTCTTAATATTCCATTCAGCTCTTAATACATTTAGTACAAATGTAGGAAAAAGAGGTGTGGCAGCATCTAATATAAGCTCAGCTGTCCAATGACCCGTCATGATCGTTAGTAGCATGCATTAATTAGAGCCTTCAGGCTACTGCTTCTCTCTGCCTACTGACAATTTATCAGAGGTTTTTTGTTTGTATCCTTGCTTTTTAAAATATTTGAACTCTCTAAAGGCTTAATTGCCTGCAGCTTGTTCTCCTGAGTTGCCGTTTATGTGTTTATTCTCATAACATTACTTATTTGTTAAGCTTTCTTTTTCTAAGTTTGTCTTGGAGAACCTGGCCCCTCTCAGCTTTCAAAGCATCTTTCTCCCTTGCCTTAATAGTTTCTCCTTGCAGTCTCCTAACAGATTTTCTCACCTAATGAGGTCTCCAAAGCGCTAAGAAAATATGTAGCAGAAAATCTACTTGCTGTGCATTGTCTCTGGAGCCTATTACAAGTTTATGCCTTCATTATGAGTCCAGCGCAGAGCTGTGGTCAAGACCATTGCACCTTTGCTAAAGCATCTTCATGGAAAGATAAAAGACAAGCATTTTAAAATATGTTACTAGATTTTAATTAGTCAACGCCACATCTGTGGCAGCAGCAGGTCTAGAGTACAGTTAATTCACACTTCCATTTGATATCACAAACTACGAAATTATTTTTCAAATCAACCAGTGGCAATCAAATAAATGTAATAAAGATGCCCAGATTTTTGGGTCATTTAGCAGATTTACTTAACTGTACTGTATTTACCCAATCCCCAATCTTTTTTGACCTTCCTTTTCCACTTCATACTAACTTATTACCATTAATGTTCATTCTAACACATGGCTTACTTTTTTCCTATGACTTAATTATTTGTGTTAATTTTGTGAGCTTTCATATTCTCCTGATATAATTTATAAAGTGAGATTCATTTATTTTTCTCACTTAATGACTTCTTTTGATAGAGCCTTTCTACCTACATGTAAGATACCATTAGTTTTCTTTTTAAAAAATGTGTAAGTTTGAGTCCAAATTGCATGTTGCTTTTTAATCAGCTTTGTGGTTCTGTTACTAAATAAGTATTTGTAGTAAAATCCTTCTCGTAAAAAGTGTTTAAAACTCTCAGGTTGTCTCATACCCTAAGCATTAAATTGAGATGAGAACATGCCTTGGGATTATTTTCAGGGCTTAGCCCTTCAAGGTCCTGCATAGTCTCTGGTGAGTCCAGAAAAATAACTTGAAGCCATAGCTATGAAAGAGGCTGATCTTTTAACAATATTCCAGTAGCTAGAAACTCATTTATTTAGGAATGGGTATCTCCACTGAGGTCACAAGCAGGCAGCTTGCTGATACCCTCTTCATACCATCTATTCCCTGATACTTTGGCAACTAAGATATGCATAGGCACTTCTTAGCACTTACTGAGTTCTTGTCCTTTAGACACAAAGTATGCTTTAGTATGAAATCACCTTTACTGCAGAGAACTTCATCCCCTCTTTTTGAAGTCTACCAGTGTATTACAGTTTGATGATACAAATGAGAGTGATGAGTTTTTGCGTCCCTAGAAAATTTTCTGATATTTAATGTCAAGTAAAGACAGTGGCCACTATGATTACCCTGAAAATCACCTGTACTGTCATCTGTTAAGGTCAGCATTGATCTAGTCAGCCTGCCACTCTCTCCATCACTCACTGTTGCAGCTTCCTTGCCTGGGGAATCAGTGCCAGGTGCCAAAATTAGGCCACAGCCTACAGACTGTGTTGACCATTGAGGAAGCAGAATGCATGTTTCTCAAAGTGAGGTGCTCACACTCAATTAAATGGCTTCCTCCAGGAATCTCAGTTATGTACTGGAAGTTAGGAAATCTAGTACTAAAGCAATTTTTACAAAAGATAAAATGTAAGCAGCACATTCATTGGTCCAGTAGCACAGATTTTGTTCACTTGACCTATACCCTTTAATTAATTTCCTTACTTTAAATCTGATACAGTTGTAATAATCAGAAATATTGCCCACATTCTTTGGTGATATTTGTGGATAGTTTTGTAGCTGCAATGACCTTTCAATGACTGAGTTGATACCAACACTAGACTAAATTTTGAAAATTGTTCACAATTCTGATTGTTCTGTCCAACATACTTTTTTTCTTTCTTTGTACTTCAGGACTCATCACTGCTTCTCCAGTCTACTCACAATGTGACTGTGAATGCTCGCAATTCAAATGGAGAAGTCACAGGCAGGCTAAATGTGGGTAAGTCTTTCTTGTCCACTTTTTATTTCTTATTATTTATTTCTTGTCCACTGCTTTGGAAACATTATAGTGAATATTTGTATAGAGATTTGAGAATATAAAGCGCTAAACACATTATTATTCATTACTATTATGGTTATATTTGAATAGTCCACCTGCCACTCAGTAAAAAGCAGCAGTATATTTTCAGTTTCTCAGGTAAGCATTATTTCTTTAAATATTTGAAGCACTTCTTTATTGCATAGTTATGCAAGAAAGGTCTCTGCAAAAGTTACCCTTTTTCCTTGTGGAAATATCTATTGGTAGTTGCAAATCAATTTCTGAGAAAATGCACTAAGAAAACATGTCTAGAGTCTCTCTATTTCCTAGTATTCCGGAAACTAATACATTTAATCCTACATCCTAAAAAAAAAAAAAAATTATAAATTTTAAGTTTTTTCAAGTTCAAAACTCAGACATTTATATTCTTTACTATCTATGGTAGCAGTAAAATACAGTGGTTTACTCAGTAAAATCAATAGATTTAGACAGATGCAAGTGAGAGATCTTGGTAGCAAAAATAAACAGACCTGACTCTTTAAATCATATTTTTAAGGCAAGAATGGCAACAATTGGTGTGATCGATGACAAAATTTTTCTTAGCTTTGTTACTATTTTTCAACCTTTATTTGACATTGGAGAAAAATGTAACAATTTATTAACTTATTTCTCACAAGGTCCTAGGGCAGCAAAGCATTAAATTCCTGCTTATTTAACTGTTGCCTAACCTGATATGTTTAAGTAGTTTACTAAGTTGGTACCCAGCAGAGCATTGATGAGTAACTTTTCCATGCTGCTGAGGCTATGTAACTTCTGTGGCAACTCCTGTTTGAAGAATTACCATTTCAATTCATAAAATGTTTTGCAAGCTTCTCTGTTTTCAAACAGTTCTAAAACAAAAGGGAAAAAAAATAAAATATATGAAGGAGCTTGTTATTCTCCTTAAATATGTATAATTATGCAATTAATTACAATTCAGCCTTTAAATGTTTTAAAATTCCCTTTTTTTAATTCAGTCAACCATAAAGTTCTGAATGACTTGTCTTAAGAAAATACCCCTAAATCATTACCAAAAGGAGTGTGATAAATAGGTGTGTGACATATTTACTTTATATGCACAAGCATTTTCTGAAGAGTTAATATCTTCCATAATTGCCAACATGATGGAACTATGCCTTAAAATTCTACTCATCTTACAAATAGGACTATTTGCAATTGTGAAAGTGTCGTATAGATAAGCTTGGAATTGTTCCAGAGATGACAACATAATATAGCATCTCTCACAAGATTATAACAAAAATACCTTTTAACTCATGGAAATTGTGATTCAAATGATCTGTTAAAAGAATTTAATAAGTTACTAAGAATGATTTAAATACCCAGTCTTCAACAGAAGTAATTCACAAGAGAGATGTGAAACAAATCTTTACTTGAGTTTCTGTGAAATTCCCCCTATGAAGATAACAGGCACATATTATATGTTCCCTCATGAATCACAGATATACTAAAAAGACAGAAAATGTGAACAACTTCCAACATGATCACTTTAGAGCTTCTACGTGCACCTCAGTTCATCTGCATGAAACATCGCTTGGAGGAGTTGTCTGGACATTGTTTTTTAAAACAAAATGCTGTAGATGTTGGGTTTTGAACTATGACCCATAATTATACTGATTTCAGAAGCCTCACTAAATGCAAATACTTTAAAAACTGCTTGCCAGGAAAATAATACTTTCAAAATAATAGGGATCATAATTTAAAAAATTAGCAAACAAACCAATTATGTTATTTACTGTTTTTTGACTTCAGTGGCCCCCTGGATGACAAAAATACCCATTCTCTTTTAATTACTTTTTACAAATAAGCATACAAGAACAAAACAACAAGGCATAAAGGAAAATAAGATCTTTATTTAAAGGAAGTGATCGCTTTATTTATATTTCTAGGAAAAATGGGACTTAGAAGGATTTTGGCCAACAACATCCAGACAGGAAGGAATCTAAGCAAGGCATAATTCTGGTAATGTACAGGCTTGATGGTCATAGGGAATTAAGAAAGTTGTGGAGAGAGTTGCTTATAGGCAAGGCAACAATGTGTACAGAACAGATGGTAAATATTTTCATTAGAATAGCTCCTCTTCTTAAAATCCTGAAGAAGATTCAGGTGTCATTGTTATGGCTTGCTTATCAACTTTGAAAACTGAAATATCTAGAACTTTCTTTGGTAATCCAAGAAAGCTTCTAATTAAGATCTCCAAGATTCCTTTTCTTAACTACTTAAAAGCCTTATTCAATCCTAGAAAAAAAAGAGCAATTCAGCACTTTCGATTTATATCCTGAGTAACAGTGAATCAACTTAGTGCAAAAAACTTGTCAAACTTTTTCAGTAATGAGTACTGATAAATATGTTACATATAAAAGAAACATACAGACTGTATAGTCAGTTATCAAATCATTAAGAGCAGCATTGGTATCAAACAGTTTAAATGATGTTTTACCTAAATAAACAACTCTATGACAGTTTATCAGCAGATGAAAATAATACAGTCAGCTTTTGCAGTTGTGTTCAGTCATGGATAAGAAGTCAGTGAAGAGCACTGTCTTTATCTGTCTTTCAAGGATCATGTAAGGAGGTTTCAACCTCCAGAAGACCCTAAATTCTCTTTGTAATATGTCTTTTTCAGGAGAAAATTAAAAAAAAAAATTAAAAACTTTAAAAAAAAAGAAAAACCAAGGTTTCCAAAGTTACATAAGTTCTGTGAGAGCAGATTCCGGTAGAATGGTTTGCTGATCCTCATCCTAGTTTAATTTTTTTACACCAAGGAATAGTAACATCAGTAGCTTCAGATCAGGGGTTCAGTTTAGAGTCTTTAGAGCTTGTTGGAATTTATTTAGATAGTTGGATTATGAAGCTGTTCTGCATTGTTAAGCATGAAATCAGCTTCACTCAGAAAGCATGGGAATATGGTGAAAGTCAAAATGGCTTATGCAGTATGAAAACAGAATTACAGTCAAAATTCTGCTTAGAGACTATTTTCATGTCTATAACATTAATCTGAACTGCTATTACAATAAGACTGTTTGTGCTATCTGTTTTTTTCAGACTGGGACAACATTCCAAGGGAACAGATCAGTGTCAGTACCTTATACATTGCTTTAGCCCTAATAATCACCATTTAGAAAACTACTGCTTTCCATAGTCAAATCATGTACAGTTTTCTTATCAGCATTTTAATATTTCATTTTCAAGTGATGGTATTTTTTCATAAGAGGCATTGGAAGAAGAAAACAGTACTAAGGAAGCATGATGACTCTAAGAAGAGTTTGATCTTGTTTTCACAGGGAAAACCCTGAAGCCAGTTTCATAAACTTAATGACATTGTAAAATCATTTAGCTTTTCCTTCTTTATTTTTCCCAGAAGCCTTTCATTAAAAACCCCATTTTTGTCCAAATAAATTCTTTCTTATCTTTAAGATAAAAGGCAGAATGTATTTCTTGAAAGTCTTTGTCCGCAAGAAGATGATTATTTGCATAACTTTAATTGCTGTCCAGCTAGGCTATAATAAAGGAAGATACACCATAGGAGAAATTAGTAGAAAGATAAATTTGAAAATTCATTGAAGAATTTTTGAGGTGATTAAGTCTTGCTATGATCAAGGATTTACAATATTTATTCCAAGGGGTTTAAAGTAGGAATGTTTACTTCCTGAAGTATAGAAATTCTAGCTATCAGTGAATCTGATCATATCAAGACATACATGCTACTTTATTTCAATGTAAAATTTGGTTAGATAGATAAGATTTAGAGGATGACAAATGGCTGCTAAAACTTTGTGCAGCAGGTCTGCAGAAGACACCCCCAGTCCTGATGGACAGCTTGAACATGTACCTGCAGTGTATCCTTGTGGCAGTGAGCACTAAGAGAACGCTGGGCTGCATCATCCCTCCCCTGGGAGGGGGCTGGAATATGATGGAGCTGTGAGCCAGAGGAGGAGGTGCCCACAGGGAGCTGTTCAGATGGCCAGGGAATGAAGCACATGAAGTATTACAGTCTGAAGAGGCTGTGTTTGTTTAACCTGCAAGAAAAGAAAGCTTAAGGAGAGCTTCTAACTTGCACCTGATACTAGGAGGGCTAGAGACAAAGGAAATCATGGAATCATTAAGGTTAAAAAAGACCTCCAGGGTCAAGTCCAACCTTTGACCAAATACCACCATGCCAACTAAAGCATATTACAAAATGCCACATCTACTCATTTTTTGGACACTTTTGAATCCACTTCCCTGGGTAGCCTGTTCCAAAGTTTAACCGCTCTTTTAGTGGAGAAATTTTTCCTAATATCAAACCTGAACTTTCCTTGCTTGAGGCCATTTCCTGCTGTCCAATCACTAGTATGAGTCCAGACTCAGAGTGCACAAGAAGAGGGCAAAAGGCAATGGTCCTGGGTTGCAGAGAGGCAAAATACAACTAGATAGAAGGGGCAGGGGAGAATTACCACTGTTAGAATGGTTAACCATGGGAACAAATTGCTCAGGGAGGCTGCTAAATCCCCTTCCTCAGAGGTAGTAAAATTTCAGCTGACACACTGAAAAGGCTCCCGTTGCTTACAGACCCCATGTCAGACTTTCTGGTCTGATCCAGAAGTGCTAGATACTCTAGGACATCTGAAATATGCTGAAGGCCAGGTGTGAAAGAATGTATTATGGTAGTAGATAGCAATGTTGTGAACTGAATCGTGCCCCATCTGTTGAGCAGATCCTCTCACACTGTCCTCTGCCCAGATCTGATATATATGCTTAGAATACTGCTGAAACACAGTGCAGGAGCTGACCTTATGGAAGTACACTCATGGCTTTCTTTTTTTAAAGGAAAGAAGAAAAGGGGAAGAAGAATATTCATTATACAGATGATAAAGTAGTTAAAGTACCCGCTTAGGAAGGAGAGACTCAGCTCAGCTATCCTCTCTGCATACAGGATTTCAAATTATCATGCCTCATCTCCTTTAGTATTTTCTTTTTCACCTTATCTATCTGAGAACTGTGTGTTTCAGCTTTTCCTGTTGAAGTTCTTCATCATGCAACAAAATTTGTATTCATTAAGCCTGTGAGGAAAGGTGACCAATTTTTTAAGATCTCTAGGCTTGTGTTCAATCACAGATAACAACAAAGTATAAACAGTAGTGATGGTGAGGCACTCTTGCTTTGATCTGAGCGGATATAACTGTTTCATCCATTGAATAAAAGGAGAACTGAGAGAAAAAGAGGAAACAGGAGCAGCAAGTGTTCTATTAATTATTATAGTTGTTGTTCAAAGCTACGAGAGATGTATGATATGGACATAAAATGTGTATGTGCAATATGCTGCATATTCTCTGTAATAATGCCTTTGTTCTAATGAAATACCATACTGTTCCATATGAAAATATAACTAATTTTATGTTTCTGAAAGTAAGGACTTTACATTTATTGGAATTGTATTCTATCACCCATGGAATGAGAACTGAATCTGTAGGAGTATTACATTTTTAATACACTTTTAATGAGATCTTATTTTAAGTAAGGTGCTTTATTTTAATAAAAATTAACTAAAAAAGGAAATTGCATAGGAATACCAAAGAGCACTCAGCATTTTGGTTTATACCCAATACTTCAGTGGTTCTAGGTGGTAGGAGAAGAGCAAAGCATACAGAGCATAACCTAAAGCTGACAGCTGTAGGTTAATTGGAAGTGGCAGATAAGTAGAGAAAGTAAGAAGTAAGAGATATGAAATTACTTATTGATAGAAGTAAATCCAATGTTGGGAAGCCTTTTCCTCTGAAAGATCTAAGGACACTAAAATGCTAAGAATTTGGCAGAACTAACTATTTGAAGAATCTGCCTTCTGGTAACACATTTACTCTCCTCAAATTTCATTGGCATTAAGCATTTGTGGATATTTATTTCATGGCAGGCCCTGTTTTTGACAGAAGATCCTTTGCTGTCTGGTACGTCTCTATTTGTGTTCGCGTTCAGGAACACACATAATCATGGATTGATTATATGCAGGTGCTTTATTGAAGTGCGCGGAAACTAGGGGTATCAGCAGCCCAAATCTAGCTCCATCATCTTTGTCCAAAGTGCACATATCTATACAATTTCAGATGTAGCAGTAGTCTACACTGCTATACAGTAGCAGTAGTCTACACTACTATAACAACCTTATCAATATTGCTTCATTAATATTACTTCATTAACTTTATCGATATTGCTTCATGAGAGTTAGCTCATCCTTGTACGAACATGTACGAATCTTATCTCTGGGTGGGTATCTTGGAGACCCCAAGTACCAGCTCCCTTTACCATAAACATTTCAGCTTGCTAGTCCACCCCTAATACCAAGCATTTTTTGTGGCCTACTTCTACATGATTTTAAGAATCATTTTCAGAAACATTTAACCCCATAGTAACATTTGTATTGGCCTGGAATCCAAAGGTTTTGTAGCTGTAGAAGGCAGTTGATTAAAATGCTTTTCAACTGAAATGGAGTCACTAAACAAAAGGGCTTCCTTCCCTGGAAAATTTGTAGGGAAGTAAAGAGTGAGGACAAATGAAAACAAAGACTGTTTAGCAATATGTCAGTTTCTTTTTGGAAAAAAAAAGTTCATCATTAGGGAAGTAAAGAGTGAGGACAAATGAAAACAAAGACTGTTTAGCAATATGTCAGTTTCTTTTTGGAAAAAAAAAGTTCATCATTTCAAGCAGCATCCTCAGTGTCAAGAGGTATGTGATGTGAAGATCACTTATAAGGTCTGCTTCAGGGCTGCACATTAAAGGAGGAAATGCATGGAAATCATTGGTAATAATCAGCCTGAGTAGCAAGAATAACCCATTGACCTGGAAATTCATGTGACACATCTGACAGCAAGCAGAAAACAAATACTTTCTATAACCTGCATTCAGCTGGGTTGCATTTTTAATTGTAGGATTTTGTCAGCAAATGTGATTATATAATATTAGTTGACTTATATGTAGTTAATATACTAGGGTGGTAAACAAAACACATTCAGGCATTAGGAGATTACACTTTCAGATACTGAGTTTGGCTGCTGTTTGTGAGTTGAAAATTAATCTCACTGGGATTATGATATAATTATTGTTATTGCAATATAGCTAGTTTATGTGTATTGTGGAATACCATTAAGAGAAATTAATGGCTACTTTTCATTACATAAACTAATTCCCATTTATGTGAAAGCCTATTATTTCTTTTTGAAACCCTGAGATGTCTCATCTCTAGCGTGAATAAAACATACACTTGAATTTTGTTAACCCTAGGATTCCCTCTTAAGATTTAAGATACATCTATTATTATCCATACCATTCTCTGATAGTGAAGATTATCTATAGGAAAATCCTTGTCTCACATTAGTGGGGTACTTGTGATAAGAAAACTATAGACCTGAAGATTCTTGTTAAAGATTTATTCAAGTTTTCAAGGTCCAGGATCAAACAGTGTAAATGCCAATCCAGCATGGGCAAGGCTGGCATGAGTTGGAATATCAAAGAGCGACAAGTTAAAGTACCTTTGGAATGTATAAAATGTTCAGTGAGTGCTCTCACAGTGCCTTAATTAAGCTAGCTTTAGAAATCATGGGGTTTGATGAATGGGAAGGATGTGGGACCAGCCCCTGCAGCCCTGGTAAAGTTGATAACATCCATTTTACTCAGGCCTTTGATTTGTTTGAATATACAGGGACCTAGCTACTCTGCATAAGTGGCCAGTTTCATTATTGTTGCTGGGCACAAACAAGAAGAATCAATCACTGAAACATAAAATGGCTCAGATTGGAAGGGACCTTAAATAAAACCTGAACCAAGATTCTCTAGGAAACTACTGACAGGGATCTATCTCTGCCTCACTTACCCAGAACTATTTCTTTTGCTGAAAAGAAAAATTAAAAACACCATTTAAGACCTTTTCACTTGACAAAGATATTTTCTAATCTCACTTTTTGCAACATACCTCTCAGAAATAAAGTCACAAGCTTCAGAATAGCTTTAGAGAAGATCTAAATTGGGGTCCCTAAGGCTGTGCTTGGGTGCACGTGTGCAGCAAAGCATAACATAATGCAGAGCTCAGCCTTCTATCCTGACTATTTTCAAGTAGAATCAGTATTGGGCTTTATGCCTTAAAATTGTTGCCTTAGTTTAGGACATTATAGCTTCTCTAACTCTTTCTGTGTTTAGTGGGCAGTTAAAATCAAGGCTATGCATCTGCTGAGTGAAACAATAAGCAATTTGTATGGATCCTCATGCTGTGCTTCTCTCATACCAGCCTCCAACCAGATTTTGTGAAGCACCTGCATGTATTTCTTATTTCATACCAGTATCAATCATCTGTCACCTAATGCTCCTTTTACATAAGATCTAAAAATAAATAAATAAATAAATAAAAATTCCTCTTTCTTTTGAGAATCACTGCCTAGAATATATTTAACATTTATGTGATCAGATATGGGAAACAGCTTCTTAATGGGAAGGAAGCAATTCAGTGACTCTCAGTCCTGTGGATAGTCTGTGAAATACATTTATTAAAACTTGCTGAAAAGGAGTCTTAACTGCTTTGACTATTCTCTGTAATTTTAATTCTGAACATAGATTTATGATGACAACTCTATCTAATAGATACTCAGGCTTGATGTGGTGTGAATTTTAATTGATCAGCTTATTAGAAGAGGGAATATTAAGAGTTTGATTTTTATCTACTTACCAAGCCAGCACTGTAGAACTTGAAGTTTTAGTGAATTTAGGATCTGGAAGTATGCACAGATTCTCTTGCTCATATTTTTTTTCATTTTTGGAGTACCAGAATCAATTGCAAATATTCTTATAGCTTCTTGAAACCCTTAAGAACATGATCAGTAACATTTGTTAGGTATGTGGAGCCAAACTGGCATCTCTTATGAAGATCTGAAGTCCTGCTCTTACATGGGATGTTTGTAATTTTAAGGTATTTCGTCCTCTCTAATGAAAAGGGATGATGCTTCAAAGACTTTGATAATCAGTTTCTGTTTAAAATATATATATAAAAGATAGATTAATTCTGATCAAAGCAGTTTAAACACTAAGAACATGAATGTTTGGATCAATTTGTGTGGGATTTTCTAGATTCCCTGGAAACCCAAGTATAAAGGAAGACTCCAGTCATGGCTTTAAACAACAAATTAGATCATGTTAATAGATTTACCCAATTTCAGAACTTACAAGGCCACTATCCTTAGAATATCTGAGTGCTTCATGAGCTTAAGTGTACTTCAATGAATCATTAAATTAAATTAATATTATTAATAATTTATATAGAAAATTGAAGAATTATGATTAAATTATTCCATTATTGTACTGTGTTTTGCAGGTCCTAAAATGGTAGAATTCCACAGTCAGCAATTTCAGATCAACTCAAAGGATGGAAAGCCACTTTTCACAGTGGATGAAAATGAAGTTGTAATTGGCACAGATAAGCTTCGAGTCACAGGTTTGTAATGGTTTAGGAAATGCTCAGATAATATCCATGTGAAAAGCACAATAAGAATGGCATTTTTAAATATGTTACTATGTCTGAATTCAAGTTCTGGTTTTACCTCATTAGGAAACAGAAATATGAAAATTATCTGACCTTTTTCAATAAATAATCAATAAGAATTTTTAACACAAAATAATAAATACATATATATATATATATCTATATCTATATATATATATATATATATAATATGTAAACATTTCTGTATGTATGTTTTATTTTAAAGCCATTAGTAACAGGAACTTTAGTGGTGCATCTTTTTATTAATTATTTAATGTTTCCAGTGCATGCTGTCTGAGGCTGAAAAAATTCTAGGTATTCCATTCTGAGTAGTAACAAGTCTGATCTGTGAAAACTTTAGAGAGAGAAATATCTCTCTGATATTTTTATATGGTTTTATCTTTCAAAGTGAAAGCTAATATATTTCTGTTCTGTGAGTAGCACATATGTCACAGGAAGATATTTGTAGTGTATCTTAAATGTCACCTGTCAAGAGAAAAGTTTGTCTTAGGCTGTTTTTTCCAGTCACTGAAGTACTCATTTACAAAGTAATACGTCAAAATTATCACATGAAAAGCTGCTTCCTTTCATGCTACCTGTTAAAGTCAACCTTCATTTTCTAGGTGTAAGGTTGCATTAAAATAGATACATCAAGGTGTGATTTCTCTTTGAGCAGAAGAATCCATCAAAAAAACACTGAAATCACGTTGTAATTTCTTTTCAATTAATTTTATAATATTTTTTACTTGTTTGCAACTATCATGCTTGGCCTTTGCTAGTTACAGGTCCTCTGAAATCTTGAGGTCTTCATTTTAATAAATAGATTCATATTATTTCACTGTCAAAACTATAAATATGGCAGTAACTATACAATTAGTGTTTCAAAGCCAAAGTTAAGTTATAATAAATGTGTTAATAAATTTTGTTTATGCCTGAGGGTCTTATCTTAAGGTTTTTTATTTTTTAACCTAATTTTACAACTTTGTTTAACCAGGAAACCCTATCAAATAATTATTGTTTGCCCAAGGGATGCTAAATTTTAATAGAAAAGCGTGTTTAACAAAGATATGAAAAACTGCATAATTGTTAACTGATTTGGAATAGGTCTATCTCTGCTCAAAGTAAGTAAAAATCATTCATATATGAGTTGAAATTGTTATGTTAATATTAATGACTCACTCATCCAATATTAATCTTTACTGTGCATTGATAATTATTTACTTCAGCAGGTACTGTACTAAGACACACTGCCTATTTCTTTTCTTACACTGTAGTAAAATTCAAAAGCAAATACATTAAAGTCAGTGAGGTTATTTCAGTGTAAAATTAATGTAAGTGAGAGGAGATTCATGCCTACTTTGCTTCAAATTAACTTATTAAAATTGTGATTTAAATGATACTATTAGCATGAAGGATAAATTATTGTGATTCAAATGATACTATTAGCATGAAGGATAAATTAGTAATACTTTGCATACTGAGATTATTTTTAAAGATTTTTTGATGGAGAACAAGATCAATGTGAAATAAATTTTGAAAAGTTCATACCAAAAAAAAATAGACAATCCTGGGCTTAAAATGCACAAAGAACATTTTGCAGTCTTTTATGTACAGTGTACAGAACTATTTGATTTTACCTCTCCTTATTTATGTGAATTATGAAAAGCTCAGTAATGGCTTTTAAGAAAACCTGACAATTTTCAACTAAAATATAATATAGCAGAGAGCAAATGGAGCATATGATTTACGATATTTCAAGACAAAGGAAAAGGTCTAAGAGGAATACGATGCAATCCAACACCTCGAGAATTGTCATATTCCTACCATTAATATGTTTCAACTCATACTATTTCACTCAGACATTCTCTGGCTCCTGTGTAGAATAGAGTAGTGCAAATCAAAGAAGGACAAATGCCTGGGGAAAGCCTCAACCAGGAACGTGCCTCCGATACCCCGCAGGGTCGCTGGCAGGTGTTGGGTGGCCACGTTCCCCTGGAGCGCGGAGAGACGCCGGCACCTGCCCCGGGCAGAGCTCTTGCTGTTCTCTGCTCTGGGGAGGGCTCCAGGGCTTGTCATCTCCCTTGGATATAGTGGCTGAGCTCACGTGCTCAAACATGAACATCCAGCTGCGTGTGAAACGCCCTGGGGCGTGTGAGACACCACATGGTATCACTTTATCTCCAAGAGATGCTTCCTGTGATCGTGGCAGCTGGAGCCCAGGCAGGATGCACAAGGGTGTTCCAGATGACAGTAAATCCATAGGATTAGGCAAAGAAACATTGCCTCTGGCTCATCTGTGGCAGCTACATGTTTCACTGGATATCAGACTGAGGCTCGGCTTAACCCTTTGTGACAGTGACTGCACCTGAAGGAGCATGGACTACAGCTACATCTTCTTTAGTATTATTTCAGTGAGGACCTGGATTTTGCAGGCATTTGTTATGTTGCTGTGGTGGTACCGAACATCCGTGATTTGTTCTGGGAGGGTTTTGTGCATTCAGCTGGCATTGGTGACAGTGAAACCACCTTGTAACTGTATTGGCTGGCAAAGAGCCAGCTGCTTTATAACGTTGTCATGGCAGGCTCTTAGAAACATAGAATTGTAAAGGTTAGAGAAGATCTCTAAGATAACACCCAGCCATTAACCTAACACTGCTATGTTCACCACTAAACCACATCCCCAAGCGCCACGTCTACGCTTTTTATTTTTTTTTCTTAAAGGAAAGCTGGCAGGGTAGAGAGGATCAATATTTTTATGGAGAAGCATATTTATAGCACCCTTTCTCCAGTTTACTACTTGCCCTTCTGCTTGTTTGCCTTTTATAAAAATCCCCTGAAGTATTTGCTGAGTATTGTCTGTGATTTTCTAGTGCTCTGTTCTGTGCAAAGGTTTTCAGTTTGTGTAGCTAATGCTGAAGTGCGATGTGACAGTGTGTGTTTAATTTAAACACTTCTGCTCAGAAGGTAAGCTAAGTAGGAGGCAATTTGAGGGTGTGAGTAAACATTCTGTTAGATTTTGAGAAGGCAAACAGTCCTTGCCTGATAGGGTGCGTGGGGTGTTAATGAGTCTTGCTGACTTCAGTCCTCTCATTGAGAAAATTAATGTCTTTTTTTGCATATTTTATAAATAAATAAAAATATCTTAATAAACAGCCTATAAAACAGTAAATATATTAGTAGTCATATAACAGTTAAAAAGATAAAGTATGAAATGAAGACAGGAAGTCAATTTAGGGGCATTTTCCAAAAAAAGTTGTCCAGAGATTTTTTTTTTGTATTAATGGCATACTGTTATAAATTAATGCTGTTTGATGAAGAGATTTTACATTAAAGACAAAGGTCTACTCTTGCTTAAAGATGACAGCTCTAGAATATTGAAATAAGCCTTTTCATTCCATTTTACACCACCTGCCCACTGCCTAGAACATTAACACTGATGTTTCCTGTTCTCTTTCTTCCATTAGCCCCTATTTCCATGAAACTAATACTATCTCTGTAACCACTTACTTGTCTTTATAGAATCATAGGATCTTAGAATCACTTAGGTTGGAAAAGAACTCTTAAGATCACCAAGCTGAACCATTAACCCAGCACTTCTAAGTCACTGAATCATGTCCCCAAGTGCCACATCTGCACTTTTGACATATCAGAACATCCCTGCAAAATATCTTAGCTGCACCAAATCAGTGTTTTCTGATAAACATTTTTAATTCCTTTAGGTGCAGAATAATCTTAATGAAAATGAAATGAAATGTTAATGAAGCAGGGTTAAAGCTCTGTCTGAATTAATAAATTTTAAGTTTTCCAGTATTATATTCATGCCAGTTTTTAATTTACAGAAAGATTAATCTATTCAAATTGATGAGGAGGGTATCAAAAGCTAAATAAAATTTAAATTCAAGCTTAGTAAATCAATGAATCCTCAAATTGCTGAAGAGATTTGATATGGTAATACTTGTATCTTGTTTACTTCTCTTCCATCCAAGCCAAGAGGATTTCATTCTAAGGAATCACGATTTCAGATAAAACTCTTCTCAAAAAGCAGCACATTTCATGCCTTCTCAGGACATTCTCAGAATTTTCCTGCAGTCCTCATGAAGTGAAAGTCTTCCTGTCAGTTGTCTCAGCAATGCATTCATTTTTAATGTTTTTCTTGATTTCACTTCCTTTTCTGTGAGGTTGCCCCAACCAATTTTCAATTATTTTTCCCTTTTTACCACATTTAAAACAATCTAATACCACATTTATACAATCTGCACCACACTTTTTAATCATCCATTGCCATTCTCTGCCTAGACAGAGCCCAGATCCCTAACATTGGGATTTTTAGAGCCCAGAATCCTTTCTAGGGTAATGGCATAAAGAGCAGCCAGACAAGCCACCTTGACTGATATCCTAACTATTGAAATACATTGCCTTGCTGCATATTTACCTGGAAAGTGCTCACATATGTAAATCCTCAAGGCCAGAGAAGATCTCTCAACCTAAAAGCTCTCCAGTTTTTGGGGAGTATGTTCACAGAGCCAAGGAGCAGAAGTTGAGTCTCCACCCTTGCTGTAGGTGGTGGTGTTCAGCTGCTTTTTTGAGCTGTCTGTTGCTGAGGGGCTATTGTCCAACATCAGCCAATTTCCTGATCCTAGTGGAGCTTAGGTGGAAGGTGGCCACCGGCCTGGTGATACTGAAATGATGCTGATACTCAGGAGAGCAGAAATGGAGGCCCTTGGAAGATTTTCAGGTCCAACAGGGGGGCTCCTGGTGAGGCTTGGTGCCCACTGTTTCTTCTTCTTTGGAATGAAATTACTTGTATATCAAGACATAAACTATCTGATCCCATAGTCATTTACATTTTGCATGCAGAAACACCATTTCATATTCAGCAAGTCTGCCTATAAATAGGGGGAAATCTTTGATAAAGCTATAGGACAGAAGTTGTGATATGCATGGAGCAGTCTACAATAACATGATTATTTAGGACTGTAGTATTTGTGAAGTTTTCTGGGATTTTTACTGTAATGGAAGTTACATTGTATAAATCTTATTTATTTATTGTCTCAAGTAGTTTAAAATTCCTCTGTCTTCAGACTTCTTGGATTACATTTTAAGAATTTACAGCTGTACATTTACATTACTTCTATATGGTATTGTTCTCACCAATACTGCAATGGTAATAAGGTAGCTATATTTCAGTTGTCTTATAATTCTTAACATGTGTTCTCTTATCTTGATTTCCAACATCAAAGTAGCCATATTAAAAAAAACCCCAAACTTCTTGCTATCTTTGTGTTGTATTTGAACTGTTACAGTATTTTTCTTCTTTTGTTTTTTTTTTTTTGCAGGGCCTGAAGGAGCACTTTTTGAACATTCTGTAGAAACACCACTTGTGAAAGCAGAAGCTTTTAAACAGCTTAGGTAAGAATTTATACATAAATCTAATAAGTAAATGTTATTTTCTATAAATATCCACAATTTTTTGAACACGTGCTTTTCAACACAGAATTGCTGTCAACTTTTTTATTTATGTAACAAGTTATTATTTCGAAGGAAAATAATATCTATTGTTCTGCAATTTTTAAATATATTATGAATTATTTGTTGCTGATGATGAATATATTTAAAACCCCTGTGAAAAGGTTTTCTGTAAACTTCTATTTTTCAGTTTCGAAAAACACTTGGAAATATGACTTTTTTTACAATGTTACTATGCTGGTGCTAAACCCACCACATTATTTGGTTCATTGGCCAGGAAACTCAAATTGGCGAATTTAAACCACTACACTAACAATATAAGTTGCTTGTCTGCAATAGGTCATCAACCTGTAATTAGTCAAGGTTTTTGAAAACTAGTATCTGAGGAAGCAGACTAAGAGGAAAAGTTTGGAAATGTATGAAGCTCTAATGTAGGAAAATAATTAAAAACTGGTTGGGGAAAACTCAGAGAACATGGTAAAAAGAGAAGAAGTGAAATCAAGATACTAAATACTAAATACTAAAAAGCAATTTGGGCTGAGAAAATCATTATTAAGTACTTTGTATGTTTCAGAGTTCCTTTATTCTGGGACAGCATTTCTTTGTGCATTATTCTATTTAATTTTGAGTGTCCCAAATTAGTTTATAATATGCTGGTTATTATGAGGTAATAAACTCAAATTAAATTCTCTTCATGAACATGTTATTTTTCATTTTATAAGCAAGTTCAAAGAAAGATTTAAAATTAAAGAGGATCTCTTTGATGATTGTATTTCTGTCTTTTCATACCTTGGCAGTTTGCTACTTTCTGTCATGATTTCTCTTCTTAGTTTTCCTCTTCAACAGGGATAACTACTAGAGAGTAGGGGAAGCTGATGAAAGCTTTGAAAAACATTGCCTGTATCTTGCTGATCGAATTTTCGAATTGAGAATAACAAATGAGAGAGAGACTGTTAAGATAATTATTTTGTTTTTTTGTTTCCATTTAAGATTTACTTTACGTGGTGCTTACATTTGAAGACAGTATGAGCTCAAGGCATTATTTTTAACATATTGATGTCTACTTTCAAAAATGTTTCTTCTGTTATGGTAGAATTTGGATGTGAGAGACTTTGACTGATATTCTGCATTAGAAGTGTACATTGTCTAGTTTTGTAGGGAGTGGATTCATTATGTTTTAAATTTGACATTTTCTGTGATTATCTCAACTTCAGTGAAGTAGGAAATCGAATTTCTTAATTGCAAAGTCAAGAAGCTCTTAGCAAATTTTGATTTGATATATATCTATTATTTTCTGTGGTTGTTACATTGCTCCAAATACATAATCAATTAATATTTTAATAGGCTTTATTCTACATCTGTTATGCACTGTTACATTTTAAGTTCTTATTTGCATTTTTGGTTAACAGTTACAATGGTCCTGACTACATACAACTATTGTTAGTATAATTTTTCTGTCTCTTTTTAAAATAGGATAACAGTAGGAAGGAAAACAGCTTAATTCAAAGTGTTCCATCCTCTATGGATGAGTTTAACTCACAGCTTGCCTCTTTAGTGATTTTTACCAAGACAGCTATGAACACATGTTTTGATCTAGAATGTTGCTATTTGTTAGCAGAGCTCAAATGTAATACTTAAAATCACACTCAGTTCTGTCTTTGATTAATTTAAAGAAGTGGGAAGTAAAGACTTTTCCAGAATTAACAGAAGTTTGCTAGTAATTATTGTGATGTCAGGGAACTAGGAACATGGTCACTGACGTGCTTATGACTGCATTTGACATGAATCCAGAGCTGCTAAACACCTCTGCTAGAAACTGAGTTAGCTTAACCCTAAGAAAACTGATTTCCTGGGCATGAGGCTGTGCAATGTATACACCACTCACTTGTACCAGCATAGAACAGCTTGGGATGGAAGGGACCTTAAAGATCATCAAATTCCAGCCCTTCCTGCTGTGGGCACTTCCCACCAGACCAGGTTGCTCAGAGTCCCACCCAGCCTGGCCTTGGACACCTCCACCATCCACAGCTTCTCTGGGCATCCTGTTCCAGTGCCCTACTACCCTCAGCTTCTGTTTTAATCATTTCTTGGTCTTTAGTCTTCATTCCTTCAGCAACTCTGCATTGAATGACAGTGGGCAAAGAGGAAAAAACACCTCAATACTTAAAAGGGATGGAGAACTAGTAAACAAATAAGTAAAGAATTTTTTCCCAATTCCTAATCTAAATCTTCCTTGGTCTATCAATACATGCCCTTGTAAGCATCCCTCTCCTGTCTCCTGTCCTGTTAGGCCTTTACCCACAGCAGTTTAGGATGCCTCAGTCCTTTATTTTATTTTTCTGTCATAATCAGTGTCAAGTTTGAAAGCAGAGATGGGAATGATTTTATTTTTTCATGAAGGGCTTCTGGGGAGTTTTAAGAAGGAAATGCACTGCTCTGCAGTGCAGATGGTAAATGAAGATTTAGGGAGAGAAGACCTTTTTGTCAAGCTGAAAAAAGGTTACTTTCAAAGGCAATCTTAAATGTCAGCATAAACAAAATTCATGCATTCTGCTATGAAGGAGTTCTGACAAGTTTACCAAAAAATGGATATTTTATAATGCTTCATAAATGCTCCATTTCATTCCACTCTGTTAAATACAGGTACCTACCCACTGAAATATGAAAATTTAAAATGCAATTTCAAGTATGACTTTCCTATTTTAGATTTGAGCATCCTTTCCAGACTAGACTAGTGAGTAGAGAGTTATAATTAATACAACAATTTGTTTACCTTTACACTTTCACCATCTATTAATCTTCTGCAATTTTTCCTTTATTTTTCCTTCAGTGGTTGTGCTGTGCAATGTGGATGTGATATGCTGGATGAATGTGTTATAAAGTGCCATGGTCTGCAGCATTAAATGTGGGGAATAGTGTTTTGAGAAACCCCATCCACTACAAATAGAGTTGCAGGATTCAAGGAGCTGCCTGGAAAGCTGTTAATGCTTGTAACTTTTCAGCTTTTGTCATATGAACAGGGGCCACATTCCTTCTCTGTCATTCAGATTTAGAGCAGGATTTCAAACAAAGCTGACACAAATGGCCCCTGAATTACACATTCTGCTGGCTTTCTTGTCCAAATGCCGAGTTTCAAGATAGACTGCTTTTCTGGAAACAAAGAGATATGTGTGTTGGAACTGTCTTTTTATAGCTAAGTTATGGAGACAGAGGGATACAATTACGCTGCGGTCAGTAACTGTCTTTTCATTTGTAATTTGAAGGAAAATTACAGAGTCCTTTTCAGTCTAAGAGATCAAATTTATGAAAGAAAAGGAAATCTGCTTGCGCTTGCTTCCAACGGGTAGGAAGAATTAAAACAACAAAATCTACATTTCAAGATTGTAGCTTTCCTAAGTTTAAAATAACATTACCTACTTTTTAATTTTTTTAATGGACTTCTTATATTTAAATAAGATATATAGTTTTCATTTACAAAATTCATTAAGACTTTAGGACCTAGTGGACACCTAAAAACGTGGCACTTGCATGTAATAAGTGTCTGACAGACATCTCAAAGACATGTTTACAGTCAACAGGGAGGTTTGGATATGTCCAGGAAATATCCTTCCCAGACAAACACTACTGAGGAGGCACCTGGTTGAAAACAGCCAATTGTCACCAATTGTCACGATCCATCTCTTTATTCCTGCCAAGCTATTTTGTAGCCTTTTCCATGGCTCTTCATGAGGCCTTGGACTTTGGTGTGTATTTGGCACCTCGAGAACTTGCCTCAGTTGTCCCAGGTGTCCTGAGGCTACCCAAGTATTTATTTAGCTGACATGTACAACTGAATCACAGCAAAGTTTTAATGGAAAACAGGTGTCTTGCTTCCCAGAAAAACCTGAATTTAAACAGAATTAGGAAAGCTCATGTTCAGACATACACCTTGTGACCCAAAATGTAGTTCAAAAATCTGTAACAGCAACTACTGGAAGTAGATGATGTAGACAGAGACATTTATAACAGTTCCCTGAAAGCCATCTTTTCCCCAGGTTCCACGTTAAGTACTGGAAGTAGGCTCTTCTGATGTTATCCAGAGTTTCATGCCAGCATACACACTTTTTTATGTCCCTTGTTATCAAATAACATTCTCTGTGAAAACTGGTGTCTAAGTTTAGAAATGTTTCCAGTCAGATGCTAACATATTTCTCCGATAACTTAAAACAGCTTAGAATATTATTTAGACTGTTCCTGTATTCCTCCTAAATTTTGTATCCTTGAATAACACAGAGTTCATACCTAGTTTTGTCATGTTGATACCATTCACTTCTTGTGGTCTACATAGCTTGTGGTTTTCTAAGGGAAAACAGTGGATCAGCAAAACTCTTTAAATCTCAAAACAATGTTTCTGAGCTGAGCATTTGCATTTCCAAACTTACAAAAATGTGCTTACAAATGTGGCATTTTTCCATTTATCAACTGTATACTTTGAATAATGAATATAATGCTTATGAATTAGTACTGTCTTTGTTCTCATATTTGCCATGTATGGCTGTCTGACAGCCAGCAACTGTGCCTTCTGAGCACTAATCCTGTGGGAAATCACTTTTAGCACACTCAGCTTGTGGTATTCTGACAGTCCTTTAACTGAGGTTTTACATGCAAGTTCAGAATGATCCACATCATTCCACTACCATGATTTTGGAAAGCAGAAATGATATTACTGTTCCAGAGAGTCAACTTCTGTCAGAGTATGATTATAAATTTATAGAGAGATATATATTACCAGAATATGGGTATATTTAATGGTTTATGTGTATATACTGAAAATATTTCAATATTCCCCAAAGAAACTGACGTAGTCTAAACAAAGGTATAATATTGGTATTAAATAAAAATTTAAATGTATAATTTAAGAAGCACTGTTTTATATTTAAGTGAAATATCTTTCCAACACCTAA